TACCTAGAATTCAATAATTTGCTGTTTGTAGGTTTTAGATGTATAGGAAGTCTTGTTTGAGCAAATTTTTTGTTTCTGTAGGTTAATCCTTAAGTGAGCTGTGTGAAATGGATGTACGGGGTCACAAAGTTGTTGATTCATTGATTCAATTATTTATGAAGAAATAGAATTATTATTTTTTGATTGTTTAATTGATTGTAAAAGATGATTTGTAAATGTTGATTTGTTTAATTGATGTGTACATAATTCTTATTTGTGCTTGTTTAATTGATTGAAATGTAATAGTTGATTTGTTGATTTTAAATCTGCATTATGTTGAAGGCAAAACAGACTATCGCAACACGAAACTGACTATCGCAACGAGAAAATCGCAATGCGAAATGAAAATCGCAACGAGAAAATCGCAATGCGATTTTCATTTCGCATTGCGATTTTCATTTCGCATTGCGATTTTCTAGTTGCGATAGCCATTTTCGCGTTGCGTTTTTTCATTTCGAATTGCGATAGCCATTTTCGCGTTGCGATTTCCCCGTTGCGATAGTCAAATGAATGTCTAATAAGTGATAACAACTGAACAGATCATAGCAATGTTCAAACTCAAGTTACTAATACATGCCTAACTGAAAATTAAAAGTGCACACATAAATACACATACAACGTTGCATTTAAAAATCACCTAAGTTAACAGTCCCAAAAGGTGAAGCCGGTTGTGATTGGGATTTTGAAGATGATTGCGATTTTCAGAATCTCGTTGCGAAAGTCAGAATCTCGTTGCGATTTTGTATTATCTCGTTGCGATAGTCAGTATCGCATTGCGATTTTTCAAATTCGCATTGCGATTACTTTTCGCATTGCGAATTAGGAAAATCGCAACGCGATACTTACTTTCGCAACGAGATAATACAGAATCGCAATGCGATTTTCAAAGTTCGCAATAGGTTTTAGTTTCGCAACACAAATTTTTTGTGTATATATCTACGCAGAAGCAACAACTCATAACCTAAATTCGTGTTTGGAATTTGAAAAAAAAATACGCGTTAATACGAATGGCGCTATGTAAATCGCGTTGCGAAAGTCAGTATCTCGTTGCGATTTTGTATTATCGCATTGCGATAGTAAGTATCGCATTGCGATAGTCAGTATCGCATTGCGATTTTCCCAATTCGCGTTGCGATTTACTTATTCGCATTGCGAATTGAGAAAATCACAACGACACTGTAGACTAGGGGTGTGCAAAATTACCCGACCCGTTTGACCCGACCTGTCGACCCGCCGACCCGGATCTAAAAAAACCGGGTAAGTCTCTAAAAAAAATTACCCGGCAGGGTCGGGTACCCGACCCGACATTTCCCGGGTCGGGCCCGGGTCACAAAATCTAGTTTTTTCGGGTACCCGATTACCCGAGTACCCGGTTAGTTTTTATTTTTTTTTATTTTATATATATAATTATATAAAATAATGAATTATTTATATTATGGATTATTATTTTGTATTTGAACTTTTAAATTTTATGTTCGGATATTAGAGTATGTAATTCGAAGTTTCGAACATTTAAATTTGTGTATATATTTTTTTAAATTAATAATTTGAAAATAAAAAATTAAAAACCGGGTATCGGGTACCCGATTACCGGGTACCCGCAAAATCCGGGTACCCGCAAAATCCGGGTACCCGATTACCGGGTACCCGTAACATCCGGGTCGGGACACGGGCCGAGAAATCGTCGACCCGGAAGTTCCGGGTACCCGAAAATCGGGTACCCGAAAATCCGGGTACCCGGATTTGCACACCCCTACTGTAGACCATCGCAACGCGATTTCCAACTATCGCAACGCGAAATGCAACGCGAATTTGCGATAATGGAGATCGCGTTGCGAATTAGCGATCGCATTGCGATTTTGTTGGTCATTTTGGCAAATCCGGAAAAAATTGGTTAAAATCGTATGTTATAAGGTAGCCTTTATGGTAAAATGTCCTTTGGCAAGCTTTTCTTCTGGAATGGTTATGAAAATTATATAAAAAAAAAAGTAAAAACAATAAAAATAAACATAATAATGACACAAATGTATGGACATGAAAAAAGTTTGTATAATAAAATTACTAATATGATAAAAAATATAAATATTAAACATTTTAAAAATTATGTGACGAAAAAAAAATAAGCACGCCTAGAATCCATGAATTACTGGTGAAATGAATTGCATATCATTATTATTTGTTAGGAATGATAGAGTTATGATATGCGATTATGAGAGGTAGATAAGATACGCAAATTTGATTAGAATATCATTATAATAATAATTATATGACTTATAAAAATATGGTTTTTTTCCTGTTAAATTGTATTCTATTTGATTAATTTGTAATGTCAATAGAAAAATACTAAACACTGTAAAATAAAATTTTATTATAAATTCCGACCAAAATCAATAAAAAAAATTCCAATATATGCTAAAACCAAACCAACCATTCGTACCAAAACGAGGAAATCAAAAGGTCAAAGGGTAGTTTTTGTAATGTAATAGATTCAATTTATTATTTTTGTTTCTATTATATTTTCGTATTAATTTAATTCTTAAGTTATTCAATTGTATTATTCTATATCATATATTTAACTTAAAACTCTAAATTATGAACCTTAAATTTAGACCATAACACTATAATCTTTAAATCCTAAACCCTAAATCTTAACTTAAAATTTATCATTTAGGGATTTAAGTTAGAGATAGAATATAAAATGATATAATTAAATAACTTCGATGATTAAATTGATGCGTAAATACGATGAAAACAAAAATGATAAATTAAATCTATTATAAAGACAAAGTGACCTTAATCCAAATGAAGGCAACATTGGGAAGCTAAAATTGGACATACCTACCTGTAAAGCGTTAAAAAATCAAGTACAATTTTACAAAAAGACATGGTTAGCCAAGTCTACAATAGCTTATTTCCAGCTTTACATTGTCATTCATTCCCCACTAAGAAATAAAAAAATTAAAAAATGATGAATAAAACTCGAACTAATTACGAGAAATTGAAGCGAAGAAAGAAGAGTTTATCCCTCCAATGGTACTATTGACTAAATAAATAGCCCACTTTAGGTGACACCCCTTTTTAATCTGAATTTAGAAGTGATTATACTAAAATGTATTTGTTACGTCAGAAATCTACATCGGTTCAAACACTCCCACATTGACAGATTAATTTTTCTCGAATGCTCCTTTTTCTTTCTTAGGCTAAAGCTTTTCCTGCAATAAAATAATTATACTCCCCACAACACACACTCTCTCTTTCTGATGTCAGCATAATTCGATCCCCAAATGCTTATCCACAACACAAGTTGCATCCCCTGTTCTATGTATGTGCGCGTGCAATCATGCATGTCCATAACCTATGTATTACTTCTATAATTGCACAAATTTACATGTCTGTGCCTAAGTAGATACACCCATCATTACATAAAGTCATCGTTTTGTGAATGAAAAAAATAATCGAGTCAGGATCCTTATGGATACTAACTTCAGCTTTTCTTACTCTATAAAAACCTAGTCTCCTCATATCTTAGTTGTTATCTTCCAAGGTTTTAGTCCCTTTCACCATGCAGCCTAGTGAGGTTTCAGGTATCCAATACTCAGTTCCTTCCAATCCATCTCTATATTCGCCGCATTTTGGCATGAACCAGAGCAATATGCCCGTACACGAGTTGAACCGATTCTCGAACCCGATCTATAATCTCTATGTCCCTCTTCAACTTCATGAAATCAGCCCCCACTCGTCGTGCATCAGCAGCAACTCAACTTCCGACGAAGCCGACGAGCAGCTTTTGAGCCTTATCATCGAGAGGAAGCAGAGGAGGGTGATATCAAACCGAGAGTCGGCACGTAGGTCGCGTGTGCGTAGACAAAGGCACCTCGACGAGCTTTGGGCGCAGGTGGTTTGGCTGAGGAATGAGAACCACCAGCTCCTAGATAAGCTGAACCATGTGTCGGAGAGCCATGAAAAGGCACTTCAAGAGAACACGCAGCTCAAAGAGGAAGCCTCTGAACTTCGTCAGATGATTTCCCATATGCGACCGAGTCAGCCGTACACGAGTTCAATGAACCTGGAAGATGTCGCCTTGGAACACGGTTTATCCTAAACCGGTTCAAACACAATTTTTGGTTCTTCAAGAATAACATGTTTGAGCACTTGAGCTTGAATATCCTCGAAACTACTATCTTCTTTGTTCTTAACTTCCTGTCTTCCTCCTGGATATCATACAAGTCCCTTTCGCTGCAATTTATATAAATACCCAATGTTTATTTCTCCACCATTTTCTTTTCATTTACTTTGCTTTGTTCTTTGAGTTGGGGAATTATTTATCAGACCAATAAACTTTGGTGTTCATAAAAGTAAACTCCACTAAATGACGAGAAAAATAATAGGAAGATGGTAAATATGATAAAAGTTAACTAAAATTGTTTGATCAAACATTAATTCGATCCACACTTATTATTAATATTTAAATAATTTTTTTAATTTATAATATAAAATAAATTAAAATTTAGCAGCTCAATTATTTGAAGCTCGAAAAAACTTTGAATGAAAAAAAATTCTTAAATTTAACTCAATTAAAGCCTCAAATTCAAATACATGAAAAATCTTATACTACATCTTTTAAAAGTTCAATACATAAATGTTAATATTATTAATAAAATAATTTTTGAAATAATAAAATCTTAATAAATTATATTTTCGAGTCGAGTATCAAGTAGCTCGTCTCAGCTCGTTAAGAATTCGATTCGAGCTCAAACTCGAGTTGAGTCCATTCGAATAAAATATTTATCGAGCTTTAATCGAGTCAATCTCGAATAGCTCACGATTTATTTCGTCTAATTTACAACCCTACTCATATTCTATCTTTTAGTTTTTTTATCGACCTATATATTATTTATGATGATATATATAAAAACTAATATAATTAGAGGTAAAGTAAATTAAATAAGTTCGTTGATAAATATATTGAAATATTAAGAAATTGAATCAAACTTAGCTTTCCACCAATAAGAGATTTGGAGTTGAAATATTTTATTAAAACCGACACGGAAATCAGATCTTAACCATTTTCATTATCAGATCTCAGATCTCACTGTTTCTACTTATCGTAATCTCTCTCTTCAAAGTTTAATCACATTCCAGTTTCACTGATCAGTTCAGGGGACAGATCAGCGGACATTAGCTGATTTCAATGGCGATCGCCGTCAGGGGAAGTCGAAGCGGCGGGTCAGGCGGAGTTGGAGCTGGTTTCCGCAGTTTCTTCTCTTACAGGATCTTCATCTCAGCCATGTTTACGCTCCTCTTCATTGTCACCGTCTCCGTTGTCATCACTTCTCGTCCTCCTACAACGCATCGCCACTCTGTAATTTCAACGTCTCCATTTCTCTTCTTCTTCTTCAAAATCTCGTATATTTCTGGCTTTTTAAGATGCTCTTTTCAGCTTTCTAGATTGGGGTTCGTTTTTTTAAATACCCTTTAGCGTTTTTAGTATGGGTTTTGCCTTTACTTCAAAAATTCAATATTTTTGGTTTTTTAAATATGTTTTTAGATGATCTAACCTTTTTTTCTGTTTGCTTTTCTGAGCAGAGTCTTCCAAGTGGCGCAAATGTTTACATGCACCGAACATTTCTGGCATTGAATTCAGATCCTCTCAAAACAAGGTTAGATTTGATATACAAGCAAGCCAATGATCACATCACGTTAGTGAAAGCATATGCAGCTTATGCAATGCGGGTAAAGCTTGAAATTTCGAGGCAGTTGAAAATGTTTGATGATTTAGCTAAGAACTTCTCAGACCTTAATTCGAAACCGAGTTATAAATCCTCTTTGTTTGAGACCGATGGGAATTTAGATGAGGATGTTTTGAGGCAGTTTGAGAAAGAAGTGAAAGATAGAGTGAAATTTGCTAGGTCTTTGGTAGCTGAATCTAAAGAGAATTATGATAACCAGTTGAAAATTCAGAAGTTGAAAGATACCATTTTCTCCGTTAGTGAATTGCTAGGAAAGGCCAAAAAGAACGGAGCTTTGGCTAGCTCGATTGCTGCTAAATCAATTCCTAAGAGTTTGCATTGCTTGGCAATGAGGCTTGTGGAGGAGAGAGTTGCTCACCCAGAAAAGTATAAGGAAGAGTTGCCTAAGGCTGAGTTTGAGGATCCTAGTTTGTATCATTATGCTGTATTTTCAGATAATGTGATTGCAGTTTCTGTGGTCGTGAGGTCTGTGGTGAAGAATGCCGAGGAGCCGTGGAAACATGTGTTCCATGTGGTGACTGATAGAATGAATGTGGCTGCAATGAAAGTTTGGTTTAGAATGAGACCCGTGGAAGGGGGTGCCCATTTGGAGGTGAAGGCAGTGGAAGATTATAGCTTCTTGGATTCTTCCTACGTGCCAGTGTTAAGGCGGATTGAGTCTGCTAAGATGCAGAGGTTTAGTCCCGAGAAAACGATGGAGAATGCGACAAAAGATGGGAGCAACATGAAGTTAAAGAACCCCGTGTCTACTTCAATGTTGAATCACCTCAGATTTTATTTGCCCGAAATGTACCCAAAATTGCATAAGATTTTGTTATTGGATGATGATGTCGTGGTTCAGAAGGACATGACAGGGTTGTGGAAGATAGATCTAGCTGGAAAGGTAAATGGTGCTGTCGAGACCTGCTTTGGCTCATTTCATCGGTTCTCTCAGTATTTGAACTTTTCACATCCTCTCATTAAGGAGAGGTTTAATCCTAAGGCTTGTGCTTGGGCCTTTGGGATGAACATTTTTGATCTTGATGCTTGGAGGCGAGAGAAATGCACGGAAACATATCATGAGTGGCAAAACTTGGTAAGTGTGCGATTTACTTTTTAAATTAGTGGTGTTTGATATAAGCCTAATAAATTTATTAGCATCTCAGCATGATGTTTGATTTCCTAGGGATGATTGGCTTTGTTGTAAAATGATAATTATCATTTACACAATTTAACTAGAATTTTAAAATGGAATTTTGTGCTTATTTCTTTTAGTATTAGGTTAGTTTTTGGATAAAAATTGGAAACCATAGAAATGAAAGATGATCAATAAAAACTTCTATAAAGTAAAACTGTTAAATCAATTTTTATACTTCAAATTTCGAGTAAAACATCTCAATTACACAAATGGTAAGAATTATGGTCTGAACTGTAAAGTTTGAAAATAGATTTTTGATTAACTTTCAGTGATCTTTTGACAGAATGAGGATCAAACTCTATGGCAATTGGATACTCTTCCGCCTGGCCTGATCACATTCTACTCTTTGACCAAATCATTAGACAAATCTTGGCATGTGCTCGGGCTTGGATACAATCCAAGCATTAGCATGGATGAGATCAAGAATGCCGCAGTCATTCATTATAACGGAAACATGAAACCTTGGCTGGACATAGCTATGAATCAATACAAGAACCTTTGGACTAAATACGTGGATAACGATATGGAGTTTGTGCAGATGTGCAATTTCGGAGTCTAGCTAAGTTAAAGTGCTTGTTCATAGTGCCTTGCAATATTCCACCAGCATTTTGGATTTCATTGTTCACTAGATTACCTTCCAGAACAAAGCTCGATGGTTTTTATCGTCGGTTTTCTTTATTATTATCCCATTTATTTTAGAATTACAATCATTGATTCTTAAATTTTGCTGTTCTGTCTAGGAATATGTCAAGCATGTATTGTACTGAACCAGATAGCTTATGTACACAAGGAAACGATTCTTTTGGTTAGTAAAGTCTTCTCCATTAATAGATTTAGAAACTCGAGTTCGAAAATCCGCCGTGTTAATCTAGTTATTGGCTGTTCAAATGCACTCCTCCCTATTGTTATGGTTCTCAAGCTTGTTTGTTTATCAGCCTTACAAGCTAGATTCAGATGAACACTTCCGAAAAGCTTATGCAGGATTCTGGCCTAGTTGATTATATTGTTTAAGCGACATCAACTTAAATAAGGTTTTATGATATGGTACATAGATGCATGTGACACAAACCATAACATCTTTCTTTTCAAAGTGCATTCATCCATTGAAATGTCAATGGAAAAAGGGTTAATGAGAACATTCTCAAAAATTATATAATGATTTAATCTTCAGATTATATATATATAGGTGTTTTTTCTATTAAGTAGGTATTACATTTCAAATGTAAAGGTCGGGATTCAAACTTATATAAGATGAGGTAATATAAGCATCTTTAATCACTCGTTTTTGATATAATTTTGTTGAACCACATTGTTGAGCATACAAATTTCCCATGTGATTCACCGAACACATTCTCTTGCCTACCTCACTATCCAATTATACTATTTCCATTGTGGGCGTCCAAATTGCAGGATATTTTGAGGACCCAAAGCAGGCGATGTGATATGTGTCGTTCACGTAATTGATTATTTTATTTTATATAAGAGATTTAATTGATTATTTTCTTTTATGTTAAAGATGTTCATTTTTGAAGAATAACTATAAATGTTTAAAATTGAATTTTCTTGTTGCCACTTCATTTAGAGCTGTCTCAATAACTCAAAACCGGTAATAAAACAAGCAATGGTATTCCAAAGTAACTTCAAGTCGACTCTGCAAATTCTCAAGAGAATCCACCATGCTTCATTAAACGAAGCCTTTCGTCTACTTTCCGTTCATCGGAATATTGCTTTCTGCTCATCTACTCTTCCGCATTTACATATTTCCGCAAAACTACATCCAACTGGAAGAAAGAAAAGATTCACCAAAAAGTGTTTAGATCGTATAGTCATCGAGCGAGAAGCCCTCAAGCTTCTTGTTCAATACGGTGGATGGGGTTGGCGATGTACGTAGGGTTTTCATCACCCGCCATGATCACAACAATTTTGGGCTCCATTTCAAATTGCATGGCGGCCTTTTGGTCTCCACCATGGGAATTGTGCCACGAGTCCTTGCACGAACAAACTAGAATAACCAATGCAATGGCAATCAGTCCTAGCATCGCGGCCATTCCGCCGAACAGGTACGGAATGGGAGAGTTCCAGCGCCGGAATACGGATCCGGTAGCCGCCGTCGTGGAGTTGCTCGCAGGCCTCATCTGTGAGAATTTTTGGTTTCGGCTTACTGGTAATGGAAGGTTTGAATTTTTACTAGGCCATGGATTCATAATAGGTTGAGGTGTAATATATATTATAATTCCAGAAGGGGTAGATGCGTAAATTGACAAGGGTGGCAATTTCATGAGACCAACTAAGAAATTGAGCCAAGAAAAGGCTTTTGGGGGATTATGTAACGGTAGGGCCCATTAAACGTGTACTTTGGGCGCACGTATTGCCTATTCTGCCCATCACTCGGGGTAACGAATCCGTTAAGCAACCTCTTACCCTTTTTTCCCGTTGAGAAATGGCACATTTCATGTTTATCATAACAAAAATGCTAAATTACTTGCCCCATCCTCCACAAGAAACCTCCTTTACACAAAAAGAATATTTTCACATAAAATGACATTTTAATTGGATAAAATATATATTAGCAGAGTACCGTAAATAAGAGTACCGTAAGATGTACGTGTATGTTCAATTGTCTTAAAAACATTTAAACACGTTTTTGTAAATATGTTTATATCAATTATTCAAGTTAGAGTTTTTTTACTCTAAAATTTGATTCGAATCGAATTATTTCATTTTCAAAATTTCGACTCAAATTTAAATTTTAAAGAAAATAACTTGACCTTATAAGGTCATATTAAGTTGAAATCTGTCGGGTTTAAGTCTCATATATATAAAGTCGTTTCTCAAATTTCTCGGATTGTGAATAACATAATAAATTTTTATATATAATTATAGATATTTAATTGATTGACAAATTTCCAAAACATGAATCGGAAAAAAAACATAATATCTTACATCGAAATTGCGTAAGAATCGTACATGAACAAATGGAAGGGAAGATTGCAACAACTCTTTTCCCAAACAATGGAAACAGGTTGGAACCTGGCTGTCCTCAAAATCTTTGATATTGAATACTGATACTTTGGTTGCTTCCTTTATATATTGTTGGGATTGAAAAAGTTTAATTGAACAACCGAAAATATGACAAGAAGGGATGAATTGACTTTTTAAGAAATTTAGGAATTAAGGAGATTTAAGGATATGAAAAATTATGCACAAAGATTTATAGTGATTCAACTTTCTCAACCAAAGTCTACATCCACTACCTTTGCTCATCACCAAGGATTTTCTAACAAATTCACTAATTTGTTATTTCTTTTTACAGGACTAATAGATAACATTTACAAATCTCTATTTTTTCAACGGCTAAGATAGAACCAAAACCCCTTTTTAAAAGGAAAAAGTATCGGTAAACAAGAAAACCTTTACAAAGTAGATGTTTACAAAATTAAGCTCACTAAACACTAATATTTACAAGAGAAAGAAAATAAAGAGTGAAAAACTTTTCTCTTGTGTTTGATTGTTTGGATAGGTGTTCCAACCTTCTTCAAGTGTCATCAACTTGTATTTATATGTTGGAATGAGTCTGTGGTCGTTTCTAGCTGTTGAGGATGATTTGGAGCCTTTTGGGGATAATTTTCTTGCAAAATAAAACTCCCTACGACAGGGAGCATCGGTCCTCCTTTAATGAGTATCGGTACTTCCTTTATAATTTTTAAATTAAATAGCTGCTAGTAGTCGTTGGGCTTGACCAGTATCGACACTATGCTCATATTATCGATACTACTATGTAAAGTAGTATTGACACCCCTTTGGGTATCGGTACCTATTTTGTATTATGGAATTTGAGCCATTGGAAAACAACTAGTAGTATCGATACTACCTATAGAGTATTGATACTTCTCTTACTTTTGGTATCGATACCACATGAACAGTATCAGTGCTGTTCATATAGTATTGATACTGTAAGAACATTATTGATACTACATACCCAGAAAACGTTTTGTGCTCAAATTCTAGTTTAATGGACTTTGAATTATTTTTGAAAACATTGAATAAATTCAATATAGTCCAAAAACATTTTGTCTTAATTTGTTATATCAAAATATTATAAAACATAGTTCAACATATATTTTTAGGGTTTCATTTTCATTGTTTGATGTTTGGTTTTTGTTTTTTACCTTAAAAATCATTATGCTAATTCTATTAAAAGTTTGAAAAAAATATCAGAATTATTCAAACTTCATTTTTTCTTAGCAGAAAAATCAAATAAAGGAAAAATGATCGTTATTCTTTGAGATCTTTGGTTCAAGTATTAGGAATGTATGTAAGTGTTCAACGTTAAATGATTGAGATTCAAAAACTGTTCTCTTTGGTTTAAAAGGTTTCAAGAATTTTTTTAATAGTTTAAAGTGATTACAAGATAATATCTTTTCAGAATCTTTCTTAGCTTTTAACCACCGAGATAACTCAATGGGTTCAAATTTCAAAAAATCTTGAAATTTAATGAATTTCATCATCCTAATTCTATTTTTTCTTTGGGCTAATGTACATTTGACCACTGGTTTTGACATTAATATACAATTAGAACCATGACTATTTTTGGTGCAATTTTGCCCGACTTAGTCTTTGAGCTGCAATTGGGCACCTAACTTTTTGTGGGTACAATTTGGCCCTTGAGCTTGGTCTTTCTATATGGGTTGCCTCACCAATATAGGTTTTGTTCGTTATCTGTGATCTCTCACCAATCCCACTACAAAATGCTACACTCAAATCTCATGACCAGTGTTGTTGCCTCAAACATTATTGAACCCATACCGGCTGCATCATTAACCGGTTTAATTAGATTTGTGAAATGATTCTTTTGTTGAAATAAAATCTTGATAATTTATTTTTTTAAATGAATAATTTGATTTATAAAATTATTAAAAATTAGAGTACTGGTCAAAAAGAGAGGACTACTTGCTTTCGACTCGTATATATATTATTTATGAAATTAAGAATCTAAAAAAGTGTTGAAAATGAGATTAGGAGATGGGTGGTCTGTCTCTCCTCAACAGTGATAGCACCGTAGCTGTGTCGCAAAGCTGCTAAAACATTAAGGGTCGGACATGAAATTAATTTTAGGCTAAACTTTGTATTTAGTACCTAAACTATTGATTTTGGCTTTTTTTAGTACATAAACTTTTATTTTTTTTAAAATCATGCCTGAAGTTTAGTTTTTGTTTCATTTTAATACTCCACCGTTAAAAACTTATTGCGTTTAGTACCTAAACTATCAACTTTGGTCTGTTTTAGCACATGAACAATTTTGGTCCGTTTTAGCGCCTGAACTTTCAATTTTCAAAATTTAACGTTAAATTTTGAACATGATACTAAAACAAAACAAAAATTAAATTTTAGGTTATGGTTTTGAAAAAAATAAAAGTTTATGTACTAAAAAAAGCCAAAATTAATAGTTTAGATACTAAGTGCGTAATTTACCCTTAATTTTATACATCATTGCTTGCTTAATGACTTAGCTACTTTCTTTAAAAAAATTAATGAATTTAATTAAAACAGACCAAAATTGGATTTAATTAATTAGGGTTTAGATACGGACCCTTAATTTACTAGCATAATGATACATTATCTGAAAATACAGCATAATGATACAAAGGCACATCCAATATTGATGCTTTAGAACCAAGAAATAATATTAATACTCCACCCTTAATTTTATGTACTAAAAATATTGATGCTTTAGAACCAAGAAATAATATTAATTCATATGTTATAAATGGTCTTAAATTTGGATTTAATTAATTAGGGTTTAGATACGATGTCCTTTTGTTTATTGGTACTTTATACCAACTCTTGTACGTATATTCCCAATTTCACCCCGTATTCTCTGCATAAATCTAGATATTTATAATTTTATATACGTTTCATCGTAAAATGTTTTTTCAAAGGAAAAAAAAAATGAAATTAATGCTTGAATAATGAAATAATATTTTTGGTCTTTAAACTTTTTTTTTTTAAATTATCTTAATATTTAAATATGTTTGTCTCCTATATTTACATTACCCTTCAAGCAACAAAATCATCAGAAGCTAGTAAAAATATAAATGTATAATTCCATTAATACAAGAAAACATACTACAAGACATAAATATTTGATGAATAGAGCATTCTCAAAGTGACATGCCACGTTTGCCTCATTGATATACACGTGTAATAGCCCAGACAAAAAGTAATACTATTTAAATAGAATAAATAAAAATGGGGAGAGCTTAGGGGTTGGGGGATGATTCATCTATAATATATAAATAAAAGTGGAGACTTGGTTTTGTGCCTTGTTATCATCATCACTAGTGCATCAAAAGAGAGTTTCTTTTTCCCTTGTCTACTTTTGAGTTGATTTAATCAAAGGATGGGAAGGCAGCCCTGTTGTGATAAGGTAGGGTTGAAGAAAGGGCCATGGACTGCTGAAGAAGACAAGAAGCTTATTAACTTCATCCTCACCAATGGCCAATGCTGCTGGAGGGCAGTCCCTAAGCTTGCAGGGCTGTTAAGGTGTGGCAAGAGTTGCAGGCTGAGATGGACGAATTATCTCAGACCAGATTTGAAGAGAGGACTTTTGTCTGAATTTGAAGAGAAAATGGTGATCGATCTCCATGCTCAACTCGGCAACAGGTGAAATAAAAATCATTACTTTTTTATTTGTAAAGTTGGTTTCGTTTTCGTTTTGTTCTTTTGGGGGGTTCAGTTCAGTATTTGTCTTGTTTTACCACATTTCTCCAGGTGGTCTAAGATAGCTTCTCGTCTCCCCGGAAGAACTGATAATGAGATCAAGAACCATTGGAATACACACATCAAGAAGAAGCTGAGGAAAATGGGGATCGATCCTCTCACCCACAAGCCATTATCCACTGCCGAAGAACATCATCGTCCCCAACAGCAAGACCAAAAGAAACAAGATGACAAAACAATGGAACCCGAAACATCATCTTCCTTAAACTCCACAATGTCTAAACCAAAAGAGGAGGAAGACCACCCGATGGTGAAAGACGTCGATATCAATGGTTTTTGCACCGATGAGGTTCCTTTGATGGAACCCCATGAAACTTTGGTTCCTAATTGTGCACCATCAACGTCCTCATCCTCACCATCTTCCTCTTCTTGTCACTCTTCCATGTTCCTTGAAGAGCTACAGCAGTTCCCTGGTTTTGAGTGCCCCTTTGATGATTTCAACATCTGGGACTTGCTGATCAATGAGGAAAGTGACAAAGGGATACCTCTTGATCATTCATTATCGTCTCCACTAATGGGTTTTGATCAAGGTTCTCTCCCATACGAACTTTTCTGATTAATTTCCACTGTTTTTTTCCTTTTAATTTTCAATGTGGCTCTTATTTGTTGTAATATTCCTTTCGGTTGTCAATTACAAAGAGATCTCTTTGTATACGGACACTTTGTATGTGATGAATGCAATAGAAGTATAAATCATTATTCATGTGATTTGAGTTCAAATTTTACCCTACTTAAATAAGAATGAGATTTTGTGATGACATTGATTTTGATGATCACTAAAATTATTTTTAAAATATAGGTTGTGTCCCAAAAAAAATCCATTGTATTAATTTTTTCTCTACCAACTTAATTATTTTAATGAACTTTGTTTTGATTTAAATAATATTTAAGTTTTGAATTTTGACGTTATTTGTGCTCATTAAATTTTCGATTTATTAGTATCTTGGTCAATCCTCAATTATGTACTTAATGACATTATAAAATGCCCTTAAAATTTGGTCACTTCAAAAAAAAAAAAAACTATGATTTCATATTTACTTTGACCCTTTATGATTAAGTATCTTCCAATATTCAACAATATGAGGTAAAAAAATTTGTATATCTTGATTTCAGAAAAAATATAAATCAAAATGATTTCGGGCTTATAAATTTTAAATTTTGAGTTGAGTTTCACGAGTTTTAAAATAATTTTAAAAAATATAAATTAATAGAGTGGTAAGAGAAAATAAGCGAGTTCATTAGTTTCTTAAGTGTTTAAATAATAGTGATTTCAACGTTGGTGTGACACAAACATGAAATTATAAAACTTTCTTCTCAGTAAAAAGAATATAAAATAAAAAGAAAAAAGAAAAAAATAGCATGATTGACATTTTAAAGAAAAACAATCCACTTCGTTACATATGGTTGTCATGTCAAACCTTCAATTTTTTATTTTACATCCAAGTGATCAAAATAAAAGTTCGGTGAGTAAATTAAAATGTTTAAATTTTAATGACTAAATTAAGACTGAAAATAAAGTCAAATGATAAATTTGTAATTTAAGGACTTTTTTAAAATAGTACGAGTGATTACATGGTAGTATCATTAAAAAAAATTCCCAATCATTAAAAACACACACTCTGCAGACACAACTACTCAAAAGTATGAGACCTCTAAAAAAATACCACTTTTATTTACTATTAAAACCACTAAACGAAATCTCAACCTTTTAACATCAAATACAAAATTTAATAAAATGTGATATAGAGTATTTAATATTTACTTTATATTTGAACAATTGAACTCGTTAAACGACCTCAGTGATTAAATTTAGTGTTGTTCTCCATAAAGGTATTGAGTTTAAACAACTACATCTACAAGATGTGTACATTGTCAATATTTAAAATATATCATAAACAAAAATTACATTGTAAACATCCAAGACTATTAATAAAAAATATTTTATATTTATCAAACGAACTTGTAATAAAAATAATAACCCGTTTAATAAGATCTCAATACACATTAATCACAGGTTCAACAATTGGGCAATTTAATTCCTAAAAATGGAATTTAAATCAAAACCATCCTTAAGCTCTCCTCTTCATCTTTGAAAACTACCTTTGAAAAACAGACATAAATACATGTCTACAGTGCTTGTCAGGGATGTGAGCGTTCAATGTCGAAAGGTTTAGAGTTATCTTTAAACATGTATTATCTTGTACTTATCCTAGATTAATAAAAGAACATATGCAACACTAATGTAAAATACGTTGTTAAGGACACTAATATTGTGTTAGGTGAAAATGGTCATCTCAGCATATAATCTCATTCCTTCCTTAATACTTTCATTTTCAAAATGAGATTGCATTTATTGATAATTAATGTAAGTTTGTAGTTAATTTGAGTTGCATTTTTCACTTTCGCTTAACTTGGCAACTACTATTTTAAAGAGATTGCTTTGTCGTGTTACCCAAAACCGTAGATTACTAGTAACAATGACAACGGTCCAACCGTATATATCATTATATAATATACATGCCAAAATTTCAAATTTAACTTCAATATTCTACACATTCATAATTCAAATTCTACGTTTAGTATCTAAATTATTAATTTTGTTCCATTTTGATCATTAAACTATAATTTTTTTATTTTAAAACCATACATAGCGTTACGTTTTGGTTTCATTTTAGCCATCCAATGTTAAAAAATCAACGATGTTGTTGACATGTCACTATAAGATAATATTTATATCATCGTTGAAAATTTAAAAATGTCACATTAGGAGTTATGTTAATTTTTTAATAATGAGTGACTAAAATAAAACCAAAACATAATATTGAGTATGATTTTGAAAAGAATAATTTGTTGATATATCAATAGTAAACTTTTGTTTATCAAAGATTGGCGATACTAGCACAAATCAACTTACTTTAGTGGTTAAAAGAATCGTTGTTATTCTTAGAGATCACGAGTTCAAGTACCAACGAGGTAGCGACTGCAGTAGGGTGATTGAGCATTCATTGTCAAATGGACTGAGAATATTTAGAACAAATATTACTTTGTAATCACCTTAACTTAATAAAAAATCAACGATAATAAAAAAAAGAAGTCAACGACTTATTCTAACAAAATAAATAAATATATATTATATCGACTCTTAAATTTTAAAATAAAAGGTTTTAAAAATTAGAAAACCCAGTAAACATATGTTTTTTGACCAAAAAAGCACTCTATTAAAAAAATACTACTCATCAAACACCCTTTCCTAACTATTTTCTGATCTAAACTTCTTTTTCAGGAAAGAGAAAGAGGCGTACGACAGGAGATGAGCCTTAGACGAGGGGAAGGAAGACGAGTTGCATGAAACACGCCTTCAATGGGTTTTATGAATCGCGCATCCTAGGGAACGTGCCTCCATTGAATGATGCATCGTAGGGAACATGCCTCTCATGCTCGACAATTTTAGGTTTAAAGTTTTGTGTTAAAGCGATTTTAGGATTTTGTTATTGGTTTTAGGGTTTTTAGTGGTTTAGGGGGTTATATTTATATGGTTTAGGGTTAAAATTGATTGTACGTTAGAATGTTTGTGTTTTTAAAGTAGGGTTTAAATTTAAACTTGATTGTATGTTATAGTGTAAGAAATAAACGTTAAACATTTAATTGGAAAAAATATATAGATATACAAAAGGATAATCTTGTAAAATAAACAAGCTGAAATCAAATTAATTGAAACTAAAAGAAAATAAAATAACATAAGTTTAAGCATTAAAAAATATGATTACATGAGTGTGGTACTAAATGCGTAATTTATCCTATTTAATAATTGGAATTATAAAGAGGATGAAGGCGCGTGGAGATATCCAATTACGAATCACGATTGTCTGGTTAACAATGATTTGAATGAAATGACATTGAATTGAATAGAAGTCTACTCCTTCATTTGTCCAGTCGCTGATGGGCGCGTGGAATAGCGCATCAAATTGACTAAAGATTAGGTGTCAGCTTAACTGCAATATACTCATAACAGAAGTAAACAAAATCTGGGTAACTGTAACGGTAACAATATAATAGATGGAATGTATCTTTTCTGTTTTTTATTTCTAGGTAAACTACCAGAATGGTCATTCAACTTTTACATTTGTATACTTTATTTCACTAAATTTAAAATAGTTAAAATTTGGTCACTTGTGTTATTGTTTACTTAAGTTGCAGTCAGTGTAACATTAAATATTGTTAATTTGATGGTTTTTCACTTTTAAATAAAATATTAGTTATATATCTTTTTATAAACTTAAAATAATTCAGAAACAAAAGTTTACCTATTTTCTTAATATGCTTTCCCGATCACATGCACCGCACAACTCAAGCTTACTCGAATTGCAAACATATGTTAAAATAGTTTAGTATTAATATAAAGAAAAAAATTAGCTGACCATATTCCCATATGTAAATGGGTAAGGGGAAGGTAGGGTAGTAGGCTGCCCCTAATGCTAGGTTAAGAGTAATTTCAATGGAAGACCTCCAACAATTATGAATTGCCCACCGTGAGTATTAATATAAAGACGTTGTTATAATTCAATATAAACAAAAAAATAAAAATAAAAATGCCATTAAAATTAGGGCTGGTCACTGGGGCGGTCGGGAAATAATAGGGTGGTCGGCCCACGCGCATATGTGTGTAGTGGAAAATAGGGCCCTTTTTGCCTCCCACTTTGATTTTTAAAATTTGTAGAGTTGGCGTCATATTGTAATTTATTAATCAATGGCCCAATGAGTGCATCATAGCAATTATTATGTGTCCAGTTTTTTTTCAATTTAACCAATGCTAATATTACACGTCATCGTTTTGTAATGCTTTTGTCATATTACGTAAAAAGTTTAAAAATTCGATTTCCCGAACAAATAAAAATGAAGTATTAGAATGAAGTTGACAATATAATTTAGGCAAAAATACATAAGAGATTCGCGTACTTTTGAAAAAAATCAATATGACCATTGTATTATTTTTTTTCTCTTAATGTGACCCTCTTACTCATAAAACAAACTCAACGTGACCCTTTGAACAACGATTTTCTTTGTTTAACCGTTATATAACTGACGTGACGGTCTGTGATACTGACGTGACGTGACAATCTATCTGTTATGTTTTAGTTACCAAATTAACTCATCTGTCATGTTATCCTCTACGTTATCAACCGTCGTGGACTACCACATCGATTGTGGACTGTCATGTCAGCACCATAAACTATCACGTCGACAACGTAACGGCCAACGCCGAAAAACGTTGGCTAAAGGATCGCATTGGTCTTATATTTTGAGTTGGAGAGCTATATTGATAGAACAAATAATACGAGGAACACATTAGTTTTTTTTAGAAGTATAGATAGCTCTTATGCCTTTAATTTATTTTATATAAACTTCATTTTATATAATATTTGACCAACAACTAATAATTACTTTATTAACTCCCCCACTGAAATTAAAATCATTGATATGCAAATGTGAACGCGATTTAAGGAATAGAACTATAATAGGAAAAAGGTGTGCCTTTCTTTGTTTGATCCAAAAAGTGGAATGATGTAAACATATATATTGATTAAGGATTCTCTTGAGACCACGTCTTCAATTTCAGAGAAGATGAACAGTTACCTACTTTTAGGCCATTAAGGAACCCCACTCAGGAAAGGGATGGGATTAATGTTTAGGTGGCAAATACCA